ATATTGGATTATCATTGAGTATTTCGAATAAATTACGTATTTTTGAGGTGAAATTAGAGGATTTGAGATTAGGGATTTGAAAATGAGATCTAGGGATTTTAAGGTCAAGTTCTCAGAATTTGGTAAATTTGGTATGGTTGGACTCGTGGTTGAAGGGGAGTTCATATTTTATAACTTTTATCGGGTTCCGAGTCGTGGGCTCCACTGGCAATTTTGAGTGTAACTTCTGATTTTTGTGGGAAAAAAATTAGTATTTTGATATGGAATTAATTCCTATAATTTGTGTGGACTGAATCAAATTAATTGTGACTAGATTCGACCCGTTCAGAAGTTGATACGCGCATAATGGAATTTCTAGGGCATTGTTTAGCTTGCTCGATATTGGATTCGTCTTGTTCGAGGTAAGTAACTCTTCTAATCTTGGAGCTGAGGGTATGAACCCTGACTATACGTGTTATGTGTTTGGTGTTGAGGTGACGCACATGCTAGGTGACGGGCGTGTGGGCGTGCACCATGTGAATTGTGACTCTGTTACTTCTGTGGTACTGTGTAGTTACCTGAACCTATCTGAAATCATGAAATCTCTACGTACTAGAGTTATCGAGCTGTGATTCATATTAGAAACCATATCTAGGCTACATGCTTATTCTGTTGGGACCTACTGAGGTCATTACTGTTGTTGAGTTATTTGCTTACATTGCAATGTCATACTCAGTCATATTCATTCATTGCATATCATATCTCAGTCTCTGTTGTTATTTATTGATACATCATATCATCATTTTTGGGCTAATTCATGTCATTGTGAGCCCGAGAGAATGGAGAGGTTGATGACTGAGTGAAGCCAAGGGCCTGATTTTGAGATATTGATACTATAGCACGTGAGTTGTCTGTGCGGATTTTTAGCGCTTGGGCTGAAGGAGCCCCCCCGGAGTCTGCACACACCCCCATTGTGCGCAATTGATTTATATTGAGGGATGGATCTTCCCTGGACATGGATCTTATCCGAAGCATTTATACTTGGGGATGGATCTTCCCCACGGGCTGGATTAGCCCTACTTAGTATTGAGTGACTGATGGTCAGTTTATATATATATTCCGGGATGGATCTTCCCTGGGCCGGATTGGCCATATACAGTACTGAGTGATTGAGCATGATGAGTTGGATGTGTGAGACAGTGAGATTGAGTACTTTGAGAGTGTAAGTACATGAGTTCATCTCTGAGATACATTGCATTGGCATGCACACATGACATACAGGCATAGAGATGTATCTTCCTCATGTTGTACGGTATCACGTTATTCATGACTTCTCACACTTATTAGCATATGGATATAGTGATGCATTTTACACTGGCTATCTGGAAAGAAAATGAAACATCTTATTTATTGTTGAAAGGAATTTTGGAAAAATTACTGTTTTCAAACTTACCCATATTTTTGGCAACTTCGATAAACGATTTGAGTTTTTACTGATATACTTGAAAGGCAGAACTATTTTCATAAATCATGATTTAGCTGAGCATTCTATCTCTAAGTTAGTTCTATATTTCCTTGCTTTACGTTGTTATGGAGTTTTGTTGGCTATTGGTGTTGGACCCGACCTTTGTTCCAGCTCGTCATTACTTTCAACCTAAGGTTAGGTTTGTTAAATGAGTTGTATTTTTTCGACGATAAAATGGCAATTCTTAAAGGCTGAATCAGTTGTTAGCAAATGTATACAGGTTCTGAGTTCTTCATCTGAAGTTACAAGCATCCCTTTTCTTGTATTTAGTTTGATATCAACCCATATTTTTAGTGAATATTTGGTTGAATCAAAATCTGTAACTACACTAATTTTTTTCAGAAAAGTATTGAATGATACTTGTTTATTAAGCAGAACAAGTTTTGTATCATGATCCAAGTATTTGTAATCAAAAATCCACCTCCTATTGAAAGTAATAACAAGGCAAATCGAACTCATCCTGCAGAATGAAAACTTCATCATGTTTAGTGTCAAGTATTAGGAAAATAAACAAAATAACTTCAGCAAAAGTTTTAGCAAATGAACTAAATAACTTCAGCATGCATTAAATAAAATTCATTAGAGAATTACATACTGTAGCACAAAAATTTCAGCACGTTTGTCCTAAAATTATAGCAAATGAACTAAACAATTTCAGCATTTTTCCGCTGAAATTTCGGAAAAAGCTCATGAAAAAACTGTTGAATGAACTAAATAACCTCAGCATATGTTGGTATGAAGTTTTAGAAAATGAACTAAATAACTTCAGCATGCATTAAATAAAATTCATTAGAAAATTACATACTGCAGGACAAAAACTTCAGCACGTTCGTCCTGAAATTTTAGCAAATAAACTAAACAACTTCAGCATTTTTTCGCTGAAGTTTCGGAAAAAGCTCATGACAAAACTGTTGAATGAACTAAATAACCTCAGCATATTTTGGTATGAAGTTTTAGAAAATGAACTAAATAACTTCAGCAAGAATTAAATAAAATTCATTAGAAAATTACATACTGCAGGACAAAATCCTCAGCACGTTCGTCCTGAAGTTTTAGCAAATGAACTAAACAATTTCAGTATTTCTCCGCTAAAGTTTCGGAAAAAGCTCATGACAAAACTGTAATTTTTTCCATAATACTACAAAACTTCAGCATTATTGATATAAAGTTTTAGCAAGTGAACTAATTAACTTCAGCATCCACTATCATAAATATTTAGCTTCAACGTGAAACAACTTCACGCTAAATTAGGTTTAACATGAAAAATCTTCATGCTACAGTAGTATGAAATTTTAGCTTGTATTTGATTGAAACTTTTGAATTCAACGTGAAACAACTTTATTCTATATCTTTCATGCAAAGTTTTTGAAGATCTACAAGCGAAAACTTCATGTTTCATTCGTCAAACAACTTCATGCAATCGTGATTAAATTAGCATAAGTGAAAAAATCTATATGCGTTGATAGAATTAAAACTTAAAAAGCATGATGAATTACAAAAATAATTGCAGAAACGTATCATGAAGATCAATCAGTTTCAAAAACTAATTTGAATTCTGAAGATGAATTGCAATACTTACAATGTATTTTGTAATTTTGAATTCGGAATTTGAATCTGGTTCAACTTTCTGGTTATGACAGAGATCGTGATTATGGTAGATGTGAGAAGAGATCTGAGGAGGAACGGAGTGATGGAGGAGAACGGTAAATCGATTAATGCGTGATTCGTCTTTTATATCTTTTGTCAGGAGTATAATTGTCATATTATTACAGATTTTTTGTCAGCTGGCTACCAAATCAATAATTTTTAAAAATAGGGTACATGTTAAAAGGTGACACAAATATAAATACGGCTGCAAATCCCCCTCAGATTTCTCTCTCTACTTCTTTGTCATACTCCTTGAAAAGCCTTGCCCTTGAAGCATGCATCGTCATTCGCTCCATTATAATTGGCATAAGCTCTTCAAAGCTCAAATAATCTTAAACAAACTGATTTAGTTTGATCCGAATCTGGGCAAAAGGACCGCCTATATAACCAGTGTGCTTTTCAGTTACAAGTTAATTAGTTAATTACTCCTTTTTATATTCCATAACTGAAATCTCTATGTAAACCTCATTTGTTTTCCTTTAGTTCACTTTCCTATGCAGTAAATGAGTTATTAAAATGAGAGAAAAAATCTTTAAAAAGCAGAAAAAAGATAAATAGAATCCTTGGCCAAAGAGATGTGCCAAGTCATCTTTCCTATTCCCTCATATATATATATATATATATATATATATATATATATATATATTGTTGACCTAAGTAAAGGTTAGTTTTGAAGACTAACAAAGGAACTCAGGATGAACCAGCTCCATCACTTAGGTGTACAAAAATGGGCAGATTCAAGCATGTGGGTTGCACGTGAAGGAGATAAGCTTAACTTGGTGTATTTAATATCTTCTGAT